AATCTTAAGGAGGTATATATTTATACACATTATTGTTTGAATTTGCATAAGAGATGAAGAAGTGCAGTGACATAGCAACCCACTTACCATTTTGTCATAGGGAAAATATAAATTAGAGAAAAAAATAGTAAATTTTAGAAATTTGATATAATTATATTGGGTTCTCTTAAATTTTTAATTCATATAACATTTAATTCCATTTTCATTAGTAATTCATTAGTTATATAGAAAGAAAATTGATATTCTTATCTCTTTTATATTGAAATATATATTTTATTTTATTTATTTATATATTTTCACATTATATACATTAATTTTAGTCATTTTAATTTTACAAAAAATAATAATAAGATAACTATATCAAATACAAGGTCCACAAAGCCACCAGAAGTTTACAGGAATAAAGAAAAGTGTGGAAAAGCAACTGCCTTGTCTAGCCACAAATGATGATAAAAGGTATAGTGAAGTAACAGTGAAGTAGTATAAGTGGTAAGGAAAGAACTATTTTTAGTAACTAGATGTAGCATTCATGACACACACCACAAAAAAAAGACAAAAATGACACTCAGTCCAAGCTCTACACCATCTTCAAAATTCAGAGAAAAAGTAATTTCTGCTGGTCCAAGAAAAGGTTACAAAAAACAGAAAATATAATGGTCTTTTATTTTCACCAACAAATAGGAAACTTTTTTTTTTATTAATAATCAAATTTCACAGGCCAGTTTTCTTGATCTGGTCCATTGTTTCAATTTCCAAGCAAAGTGTCACATTGCTTCATTCAATACATCTTCATTTTATTTCGTGATTGATAAGTTTTGTTCAATGTTAGCCAATGTCGTTTTTTAAATTTCGAAAGCAAAGGAAAAAGAGAGATCAAGCATTATTGTTATTAGCGGTGTCATATATATCAAGATTTCCTCCAACAACTAAAGAGGCAGGATGTTTGTAAAATTTCAAAAGATTCACTGCAATGTTTCTCTTTATAATGGTCTTTTTTGATAATCTAACGATTTATATTGAAAGTTAAAATAAATTTACATGTTTTTAGAATGTGTAATTTTAATATTATTTCATCCCAATTTAGTTTTGAACTGTTGAATTATGGATTTTTGCTGACATGTCTTATTGTGATTACAAAGTACAATAAGATTATTGCGGGAAAATCATGACAAATGAATCGAACTCACAAAATTTATGCAATTTGCTGAATTTGAAATTCTAACAGTGAAGTTGTAGAAATTCCAAACGTTTGCCTAAAATTGAAATGTTTACATCTTGGTGACTTTGAAAGTGGGGTGTTTAACAAATTTTTTAAGATACATTTAGAGACTCCCTCTCAATTTAGCCCCTATAATTTTATTTGGACAATTTAGTCCCTTTGTCTTTGAAATTGTATCAAGGTAGTACAACCACTTAGACCTATGAACCAAACCAAATACACACTTGATTGTCTGACACAGTAGTCCACAAAATATAATAGATGGTTGAAATTAAACCAGTTATGATGGATTCATATTTAAAATCAATTTCAGTCTGTTAATGTATTTTTTGTGATTCATTTTGTGTTTTTAGTGTTAGTGTCAACAAGAAATAAGAAAAATAAAAATAAAACTCAAAACAACAAAGTTACAAATATAGAACACGCGTGTTAAAAAATAAATTAGGCGGTTCGAATCTATACTTACTACATATATAAACAAATGTAGTGGTGTATAAGAATTTTCCAAACTCTTAATACTAAATTCTTGTGAATTCTCTCTCCTACGTGTCACTTCTCAAGTCTTCCCTCCCACTTTTCCTAATTTTTAATCATTTGTCAATTATCTAAATCTCAAAAGCCAAAAAGATTATATATATTTAAATAAAATGATAAATATTTAAATATGAACAACAAAGAAGGAGAGATAAAAATATAAAATAAATAAAATAAAAAGATAACTATTCAAATTTCAACTACAAAATAATTTAAAGAGTCAAATAAAAGATAAAATTCTTATGAATTCTCACTCTTACGTGTCACTTCTCAAGTCTCCCCTCCCACTTTTCTCAATTTTTAATCATTTGTCAATTATCTAAATCTTAAAAGCCAAAAGGATTATATATATTTAAATAAAATGATAAATATTTAAATATGAACAACAAAGAGGTAGAGATAAAAATATAAAATAAATAAAATAAAGGATAACTATTCAAATTTTAACTACAAAATAATATAAAGAGTCAAATAAAAGATAAAAAAAATAACTAAATAAAAAATATTACGAGTCAATTAATTATAAAAATAAAAAGTTAACTATTTATATATGAACAATTAAAAAAAATTAAATAAAAAAAATATTACGAGTCAAATGATTTTTAAAATAAGAAGGTAATTATGTATATGCGGATAACAAATAAATATACATGAAAAAATATACAAAAATAAAAATATAGCTATTTAATGAAAATTCAAATAAAAGAATTATGTATATATGAATAACAAATAAATATAGATGAAAAAATATACAAAAATAAAAATATAACTATTTAATGAAAATTCAAATAATAGATAACAAAATATTTAAATAAAAAAAAATAAGATTGGGATGTAAATATCCCAAAAAGATGATAATTTTTTTAACTATCTATATTTATCTTTTGTTAGTTTGTTATAGAATTTCTATATATTTCAACTTAATCTTTTTAAAGTTTTTCTTTAAGTGGAACTTAATATTTAATCATAAAAAATATTATGAGTCAATTAATTATAAAAATAAAAAGTTAACTATTTATATATGAACAATTAAAAAAAATTTAAATAAAAAAATATAAATTCAAATAAAAGATAACAAAATATTTAAATAAAAAAAAATGAGATTGGGATATAAATATCCCAAAAAGATGATAATTTTTTTAACGATCTATATTTATCTTTTGTTAGTTTGTTATAGAATTTCTATATATTTCAACTTAATCTTTTTAAAGTTTATCTTTAAGTGGAATTAATATTTTATCTTTTAAAATCATCAATTACTTATCCATGCAAATTTTAAATATGATAGAATTCCATATATATCTTTTGTTTAAGCATAATTTTTTTAATATAAAAACAAGTTCCTACAAAAGAAACCATGAATAGAAAATTGGGGGGAAAACAATCAACATTTAGCCATTTTTTATCCCTTTTCGGTGCCTAAAAATCTTAATTATTTGCTTTACATTTGAAATGTGTACTTGCATGAGTTTTTGCATTTGTAAGAAAGCGAGTTAATATAAATGAATATTATTTTTTTTTTAATTTTTTTTTTGTTACAATCTGTATTTTTCCTTATTTCTTTCTTTTTGTCAATAATGTGTCATTTAATTGAGATTTTATTCTTTTTTTATATTTATAAAAGCACTGCAATTATCAATTTATAACTCTTCCACTTATTGATTATTTGTGTTTAATTTTTTTTTGGTGTAGATGTTAGATTGAAAATGAAGAACACATCAAAATTTATTGGATATGGGTTATACTTTAAATGTATTCATCAGTTGATTTTTTATTGTTGATTTTCCTATGGAAATAATTCATGATTAAATTTATTTTTAGTAACTCATTACCTTTGAGAACTAAACCATAAATTTCTTCTTTGTTTAAATTATTTATATATTTATTTAGATTCAGAGTTTGAGCAAATGGAAGATATCTCATATTTAAAATGTTAATTTTTTTTAATTAAATATTTATATTCTTTATGTTTGTCAATTCAAGTATAATGCATTTTCAAACATTTTTTTAAATTTTTTTTATAATCATTCCAAACTTATTTGTGTTTAATTAATCAATATAACGAAAAAACAAATAGTATGTAAAAAAATTTAACTACTAACTAAATATAGTGGGAATTAAAATTAATTTTATTTTAATTTATTATATTGTATGAGATGATTAATGTAATATCTACTATTGATTAAGCAAAATTAGAGTTACTTAAATTTAATATATTAGTCATTTTGATTAATTATAATATGCCTTTATTACTCTATTTTTGGTTGTTTAAAGTAATTCTTAGATAAATTAGCTATTATATATGTGATGATTTACTAATGTATGATAGTTTTTTAAAATTTTCAATAATGTGAAATATTAAATATTTTTAATGATGTGGAGTAAGATTTATATACACAAACCAAATAAAAATGTTAAGAAATATAAACAAATAGCAAATTTTTTTTTAGTAATTATTGACTTTCTAAAACTCTGTGCATCGCACGGGTGACCACTAGTGTATAAGAAATAAATGTGACTAACATTCATTTCTTATTTAAACTAGAAATGCTAGGAAACTAGAAAAAATAATGGAGAAATATCACATTAGTGGGAGTTTTAAAAAATAATTACAAATCAATGATAGATTTTATAAATAATAATAATTAAACTTAAAAAAATTATATAAATCTATAAGTATTTTTTGAAAGGTATACTAATTTGTAATTTTCCCAAAATTAATCTAAAAGTTGACCCCCAATGTTGATGTGTGTTTAAATGTAATTCTACGACTCCCACTCGAAATAAATCTCAGCACTGAATATTTTTTTTCCCGAATTTCTAATATTATTATTATATTTAAATATGGAGGTTGATTTCTTTTAGTCTAAAATTTAAATAGAAAGGCACTGTTTGGATCCGAGGGGTCTATAACAAGTCTCATTTTAATGATCTGAACTATTTATTTTATTAAACATTTCAAGTATTTCATATAAAAAAAAATTAATCCAATAATCATAACATATTCAATTTATTACATTAGTCACTAAAAATATAAACGGTTTATAGTTAAAAATATAATCATCATCTATTTTTTTATGATAAACCTAATAAATTCAACATGTTACATTATTAGATATATCTCTCTTTTTTTTTTATATATTAAATACAACTATTCTAAAACTCAAAAACACAATAATTCAGTCATGCAAAGTCAAGGCAAGGGGGCTAAATATATATATATAGACGAAGTTCATGACCGTCACCAGAAGAACACTGGTTGGCTTAACTAGCAACATATAATTGGTGCTCTTGCGTGTCTCAATTTTCTTTCTTTCTTTCTCTTACTCTTCCTCTTTCTTTCTCTCTCTGTCTGTGTGTATATATCTTCCATTTCGGTTAATACAAAAACAGTGAGTGTACTACTGTACAAGAGCCATGGGAAGAGCTCCATGTTGTGACAAGACTAAGGTGAAGAAAGGACCATGGTCTCCTGATGAAGATCAAACTCTCAAGGACTACCTTCACAAACATGGCACTGGTGGTAATTGGATTGCCTTGCCTCCCAAAGCTGGTTCTCTCTCTTTCTCTCTCATATGTTAATGGTGTCATGGGATCCTTTATTTTCAAGTTTCAATGCAAATTTAAGTGTTGCTATTCTTTGTTTTGAAGGCAAATTTGCACCCACATGTTTTATTTTGACATTCCTTCCTATGTAATGTTATTTATCAAGAAAAATTCTTAAAAAGGGACCAAATTTTGAATATATAATATAGATTAAAATTTAGTGTGGTGCGGATCATAGTTAAGATGAATCAGGTTCATATATTTCAAATTATGTGTGCATTTTTTCAGGTATTTTTTCGGACATTAACTATTTTATTTTTCATATTTTCATTTGGTCTTAGTCAATATCCAAGATTATTGAAAAAAATATATTTGGATTTTTTGGGTGGGACTTTTAACTGTTTTATGTTTCATGTATATCATCTCATCTGTTCTGAGTTTTGGGTAAAGAACCCATTTTTCAGCGGATTATATTTTGAGATAAAAAATGATTTTCCATGCTTTTAAGTTAATTTTCTTAAAGACCCCTTTAATGTTTTTTGCACTTTATATGTGACAAATTAATATGATTGAAGTTGTCTTGTCACCTAATTAGTGTCAGTTTGTTCATGGTGTAAAATTCAACTCCGTACATTTTGTCATATATTGTTTAAGGTTGGTTATTAATCCATACCTCAATTAAAATTTTGTGAATAATCTGGTTCTGCACTTCTACTCCATCAAAACTGCACCATTTTCATTTCATAATTCTCTCTGTGATTTTGGTGATTTTCAACATGTTTAGTCCATGAATACTTAGGATTGTTTGGTTGTGTTTTTTATTTTTTGCATGTTTTCGAAAACATAAACAACCAGAAGTTCAAAAACTGGTGTGTTTGGTTAGATTTTCAAATCAATTTTTGAAATGAAAAATCCAATAAAATTGTTTGGTTTGCGATTTTTAAAAATTTGTTTTCTCTCTCCTCTCTCTTTCTCTCGTATCCCATTCATCAATTAATCATTTTTTCTTTCTGTTTTCTCTTTCTCTCACATTCAACACATCAATCGATTAATTTTTCTCACACTCATCTATTTAACTACCAAAAAAAAAAAATTACTACAAAACTCCAAATTTGGAAAATTTGTTTTCAAAATATACAACCAAACATGTTTTCAAATTTTGTCAATTTTTTTTCAAAAAACTATCTTTCAAATTAATTTTCAAAAGGATTTTTATTTTTGTACAAAAATATTTTTCAAAAATTCGAAAACAACTCTATCTTTTTTTGTGTGTTTCTTATAAAATTAGTAGTTTTTTAACAACCTGACTAACAAGTTTATTTTTTTGGTATGTTCTTAAAAACGAAAATACAACAAAAATACCAAACATGCCCATTTTTTCTTCGTTTTTACTTGTTTCCGTGGGTAAATTAACACCGTTGACTATTATCTATCACCTTATTTCTCCTTTCAAAATTGCTCATTTTGTTCTAATACTAATTTCAATTTTCTTGTAATGTTCCAATTTTTTATTTTTTTATTTATTTTTTATTTTTTTGTAATATTCCAATTAATTTATAGTGTTAAATCTATCTCAGGTTTGAAGCGATGCGGGAAGAGTTGTCGACTAAGATGGCTAAATTACCTGAGGCCAGACATCAAGCATGGAGGTTTTACTGAAGAAGAAGACAACATCATTTGTACCCTGCACACTAAATTGGGCAGCAGGCAAGTTCAACATCATTTAACATAATACTACTCTTCGCTATGAATATGTCTTTATGCCTATGTTAAAAAACAAAAAAGAAAAAATGTAGGGAAGGTTTGATAATATAGTTGGAAAAGTTACTAGATAGAAATGAAATGTGTGACTTAGCTTTTAAACAACTTTGACGCGACTCATATTAGGAATAAATCTGATTCACACACTTTATTTTTTGATAACTTTTTAAATTTTGTGATAGGTATTGATTTTATCACTTAAAATAAAAAATTCATCAAGTGATTGAGTTACTTTAATAATGTCATTGTCACATCATTCTTTTTATAAATTTTGTATAAAAAATTCTATATACATATCATTTTATTTTTTCAATTTATTTGACATTGGAGGGTCTTGATTAGGTGGTCTGTCATAGCTTCCCACCTACCAGGAAGAACAGACAATGATGTGAAGAATCATTGGAACACCAAATTGAAGAAGAAGCTATTGCCATTGAAAACCAACATTGCAAACACTTTCAACAACCCAATACCTTCAATGTCTTTGCTACCAAAAACAGAACCATATAGTACTACTACTAATAATAATAGTTCATTTTTGGCTCTGCTAAATCAAAGTCCTCTATCAATGTCATCACTTACCAATCTGACTTGTGAACTAAACAACACCACCAATAGCCAGAGCTTGACAAATTATCCAGTTCATTACTACCCTCTTCCAGAACTCCCCGAACCGTTCAAATTTGGTGCAAGTTTGAAGAGAAGTTATGTCAATTCATCGTCGTCGTCTCAAGACTCTGCAAGCAGCAATGTGGTAGATGTTGGTTTTTTGATGGATTTGGGGACTAATGGAATTCTTCATTGTGAGCAAGTAGGCAGTGAGGTTTGGTGTGAAGAGACAATCAGTGAAATTGGAACCTCCTATGCTGATTTGGTCGAGTCTTGTTGCTATGCAGACACTAAACCACCACCAGGACTAGTGTATCAATGTGATCAAAGTGTGACTAACAACACTAACATTAACCAGTATTGAAATAGTGGTCTGGGCTTGGGCTTTAGAGATGGCTTACTAGGTAAGAAATTGACATTTATATGGTTTTGTTAATTGATATAGGAACTTCCTTTACAAATATATTTACGTAAATGAAATTTCATTCTAGTCAAATGAAAGTAGGGTGTGGACAGTTTAGACTTTATAGTACTATCTCTCTCTCTCTCTCTCTCTCTCTCTCTCAGTTTCATAGAACTTGTGTTAGAGTGGTGCCGACATATGGTTTATTTATTTATTTATTTATTTTTTACTTGGTAAGATGGACAATGAATGTGATGGAAGCCATCATCAGCTTTGTTTTTTTGCTGGTCAATGTCATGAAAGTTGAATGGAGAGTTTTTTTTAACCAAACTCAGAATTATTTTTTAAATAATTTTTTTGAACTCCAATAGTTTAAAATTTATGTTCCTTTCTGAAGTGATGTTTCAAAATTTATTGTAATTTTTTTAAAAAAAATCAAAATAAAATTTTGTTTCCAAAGCATGACTTCAACATTAAAGCCGTGTTTTAAAAACATAATTTCATAAAATAATTTGAGTTTATAAAATATTTTTAACTCGGTTGAACAGGTTTGTAGCCAACTTAGGCCCCGTTTGGTAGAGCTGTGGGAAAGTGATTATATAGTTTAACTGCTTATAGCTTATAACTGTGAACATAAGCTGGTTTTTGACTTATAAATTAAGTTTCTCCTCCCTCACTCAAAGAATAAGTTGATTTTTGATTTTCAAAAAGCTATAAGCTATATTATTAAACTAAACCAAACACATCAAAATAGTTTAAATTAAACTAAAAACTGAAATAAATTGAAAATAAGTCTTACCAAACAAGGCCTTAAAATTGGACAAAACCCATCTCTCACACAATAGCTATCAAAGATATCTCTCATGAGTTTGAATACCTCACAAGAAGCATGATTTTAGATAGTGTCATTGAGCCTCTGTTTGGGAAGTGGGTTGGCTTTTTGGTTTTTTGGCTTTTTTGGCTATTTTAGCCTGGGCTAAAAAGCTTAGTTTGGAAAGGGTTTTTTGGCTTTTTGGCTTTTTTGACTTTTTTTGTGAGAGAAGAAAGTAATGATTATAGGTTGGATGTGATGTTTTGTTTGTTATGGCTAAAATAGCCTATTTTGTTTTTTGTGGCTAAAATAGCCAAAAAAGCCTGAAAAAGCCCTTGCCAAACACAGGCTGAAATTATTTAGCCATAAATTTTGAAATTTGTAACTTTCTTTTTCTTTTTTCTTTTTTTATCATGGCAAAATCGTAGTGATTGCAAATAACATAAATCTTATGTTCTTGTGTGTCCATATAACTTATAATTCTTATTTATTGATTTCTTTTTCTTTGATCCTGATTATTGACAGTCATAAAACAAGTACTACAATGGAACTAACTATTGAAGATTGTTCAAACTTGTAATATCACTTGTATTTTTTTTTTTATAATTAGGTCTAATTTGTGAATTTGGATAAGCTGTTTTTTGATTTATATCTAAGTTTTTTTGACTCATTCACAAAATTATTTGACAAGATTTAAAAAAAAAAAAAAAAAACTGCTTTTTGCTTTTTTCAATACTTTTTTGTTTATGGTGTCACATAAATTGACCATATTACCCTATGCAGTTTTGTGAAATTACAATTTTATCATCATAGGAGGGTATTTTGGATAATTTCGAAAGTTGGCTTATTTCCAACTTTTCGAATGATTTTTTGCTCAAAAAAGTTCACTTTTGATTTTTTTAAAAAAAAAAAAAAAAAAAAAACAGCTTATGTCCTTGTTCCCAAAATCGGTGATATATTTGCAAAATTATTGAAAATTTTATCTACAAGTACCCTGGAGCTCTGGTGAGTGGGTGACTTACTCCTCTTGGGCAACATCAAGGAAACTACAATTATGACAGCTTCTATATTGAAGTAGAGAAAACAGACCGTTCTTTTTCTTAGAAAGTTCAAACAAAAGACCTCTTCCAAAATATGATGTCACCCACTATCCAAAGTCCTCACACTCTCTCAATTTCAAACGTGGGCTTATTTCTTATTTATTATTTATTATTTATTATTTATTATTTTTACAATAATGCTACAATCACACTTACCTATACCCTCTTTCTACGAGTGTAAATGGATACAAATGTTAATTGCAAAAAAAAAAAAAGGCATATATGAAAAGTATATGAAAAATATACTGAGTATGGTCGGAGTCATATTTAAAAGAAATTTCAATCACTCAATATATTTTTTGTGTTTTGTTTTTGTACCCCTAGTATTATTAACATAAATCAGTGTAGAGATAAAGTTTGTTTTGATCTATATTCTTTTGATTATGCATCCAAAACTATAAGTCCTATTCACCATACTAAATGTGCTATGTAAATTGACTTTTGAGTTCAAGCAATTTCTATTCTTTTGTGAGGCGAAAGTTCATCATTAGACAATTCAAAACTTGGACTTACTATTTTTTACAATCGAACTATTTTGATGTCGTGACAAAAAGGCTAGTAGACAAGTCAAGGTTCTAGCTGCGGTTTTCAACATCAATTATTAATTTAGTTCATTAGCGTTAACCCTCATTAGGAAACCCTAAATTTTTTTAAGGTTTGTATAGCATTTTCCTTTTTAGAATTGAATTATGCCATTGTTAGCGCATGCTATAGTTGGTCGAACACATGTTTCCTCTCTATGTTTGATTGTGTTTTCATTTCTTGTTTTTTTTTAAAAAAAAAAATTTTTGAGTAGTTGAATCACATTGACTTACTCCCAAAAAAAAAAAAACTTATTTGGAGAATTGTTTTTAAAAATAGTTTTCATATATATATATATATATTTATATATTTCTCTAAAAGCAGTCCACTTCTTGAAAAACATCAAAAAGTTTTTTTTCCTGAATTTTCAAAAAAAAAAATTGCATAAAACTAAAATAATATGAAAATTACGGAACTAGCTATTTTATTCTGCTTTGATAAGAATTTGTTTTTAATTATACCTAAAAATGACCAACCTATGAGAAACATAGTAGAAGCATGGATTTAGGGGATGCGTTTATATCTAAAAGAGACTCATCACATAAAAATATGCCATGTGGCAGATTGTTAGAGAAACATTAGAAGCTTTCAAAGTGGTAACCCGACTGGATATCTTCAACTTAGTGTTCGTTTGGTTAAGATTTTAGGATTAAAAAAATGTAAAAAGTCAAAATAAATTATATAAGTTTATAAGATAAAATATTATTTTTTATTCCTAATCATTATACTTTTTTTTCTCAAAAGTTAAAAGAGTCTCAAAACAAAAATCAAAAGAGACTAAAAAAATTAGATTAAAAAAATCCCAAACTAAAAAAATCGATTATATTAACCAATGTTAAATGATCCCTTATTTTGTAGAAGGTTAGCAAATAATAGCTGAATTTAAAAGACACATATCGTCTTAAAAGAAAGTCTTAAATATGAAAAAAGTGTCATGGGACAAATGACAACACTTCATTAGATGAGTCGGCCACTATCCAACAATCGGGAATCATGGGCCTGCAAGCAATTACAAGAAATGAGACACTTATCAAACTTAGGACTCATATGAGAGTAGGTTATTTTAGTAATTTTTTAATTTTTTAGTTAAAATATAAGATAAAAAAATTAATAAGTTTGAGATAATTTTTTAATTTTTTACGAAAAGATGTGTAAAAAGTAGAGCGAAAAAGAAATCTTTGACTTTTTTATATAAGTTGTTGACTTTTTAATTTTTTTTGGTAACTTTTTTATTTTTAGACTAAAACAGCCATTTGCCAAATGAAGCCTTAGAATAAATCCCTAAAAACATGAGCAAAAAATGATAAAGATAGTAGCAAATTACATGAAGTAGTGGGACACATGTTGACACTATTGGAGGAATCTGTTATTACCTTGGGATTGTTTGGGATATTCTAAATAAGTGTATTTTTTGATTTTTTATGAAATATGGGTTTGGTTTGAAGTGATGTGGTAGAGAGGTGATATGACTAAAATAAGATGATATGACTTAAATAGGATAATGACTTTTTGACTTTTTAACTTTTTTTTGAAGATGTCAAACTTAGCCAAAGTCATAGATTTGTAATAGATACAAAGAGTTTACTGTCATTTTTAATAGTTATTGATGATGCAGTTCGTTCCAAGTGGAACGGGTCGAACTGATCGATGCTCTTCAAGCCCATGTCCGAATGACCAAGTCCACCAGAAAACCTGCACAAAAGTTCAACGGGGAACGGGGAGTTCCCCAGCGAACCCTCCGACGAGCAAGTTAAAGAGAGAAGTGGAATGTGTGGATAGATCAGAGATAGAAAAGTTTAACATTCTTCTTGTCTTCGACGTCTGCTTATATCATTTGGTAATCATTACGTTGTCCCTTCCGACCTGTCACCTTGGCCAAAAGTCTATGCTCTAGCTTACCTTGCTCAGGGTGAAGGCGTTCTGTTCCAACGGAGAGGGGTTATCGCAATAAATGTTGTAAGGGGCCTCATTAATGGCGATGTGTCGTGACAATAACTTTGCAAATCTTTATCTGCCGAGGTGGCTTGCCCCTCTCTTGCCATGTGTCTTGATGTCATTGGTTCTTATTGCTTCATGGGGCTTCAGCAGTGCTGGACTTTAGCATTTAAGTTATGTATTGGGCCCTAAATGCTGGGCTATAGTCTTTATGGACTTACCCACGTCAGTTATAAATATGAGATTCAAAAATAGAAAAATTACTCCGTGCGGATCAACACATCAAAATGTTGTCAAATTCATCTCTCATTGTGTACTTAATTTAATTTCCTTCAATCTTGCACTAATCAACATGTCGTTTTTCTCTCAAATTTGTTTCTCAGACTTAAATAATTTTCCAACAATGTCTTTCTATTTCTAGCATTTATCTTTGCTTAATTTCAATTTCAGTCCATTTCAATGATAATGCAATTTCCATTTCATTTATGAGCCTTTTCTTTCAAGTCCAACACTTTCTTTTTCATAGACTATGGTTTCTATATGTAATAATAATAATAAAGTTTTGATTCCAAACAACAAGCTTATACAATTTTGAAAATTAAGCAAAGTCTTTTATTTTATTTATTTATTTTTTTTTTTGGGGGGGAGGGGGTACCTAAAAATTAAGCCAAGTTATAATCAATGTATAATATAAAATGAAACCTACATAAGCAATCACACCATATAGTGAACAAAACAATTTAGTATTGTTGGTTTTTTTAGCATGCATTTGATTGTATTCCTCAACTCTCCTATATATCCTATTATTTTAAAAGCAACATGAAAGAATATTTCTTATATTAATATTGATCAATTCAAAGGTTCTTCAATAATTAAAAGAATAATACTATACAAATTAATAAATTTTACAAAATTTTCTTATTTATTGATGTGATACCTAACTATATCATATGATTGAAGTGAGTTTTGTTTTTAAATTTTAAATTTTTATTATTGCATAAAATATCAATTAATTAAAAAATTTATAAAATTTATTAGGTTTTTTAATTAAAGATAAAACATCATTTTCAATCGTTCCCATGAATAGTACAGATATCCAAAAGTCAATGGATCTATTAATATTTTGAAATACATCATGCACCATAAGTCATTCAATCACCATCACAACATTAATTGAATTAACTTGGTATTAACTATTAACTTGAAATCTTTATGGCGGTATTTTGAAAAATTGGTAAAAAATTAATTTTTTAACTTTTTTAATTTATTTTATTTTTTTGTGAGTAAATTATGTGAAAGGTAATGTGACCCAAAATAAGTAAAAAATTAAAAATTGACTTTTTATCAACTTTTCAAAAGAGTCCTATGTCACAAGTTTGGCTCCCCTCCCTTTCAATATGTCCTTTTATGTTTCTCTCTATTTTTTTTTTTAAAGTAAAAGAATATAGAAAGGGACAATCAATGTGTCATACATTAAACGGGACTATAGGGCACCTACTCTTTAAAAAAAATAGAATTCGAGGAGCTTAAATAGGTTTTATAGCTTAATCCAACCCTACTAAGGGTATATTAGTAATCCCCTAGTCCATCTTTTTATCATATTAATGTGGGGCATTGTTTATTTGATCATATATAATCCTTTCAACGCCATCTAATCTTCAAAAAATTATTAGATATTTTCATAATAACATGTGAGAATATCTACGTGATACTTACAGTTAAAAAGAAATCACAACATACACTAAGTGGATCATTATTTATCTCTTAACTGCTTAATAAAGGTGAGTCAATATGTTCCACTTATAATAATTTTCGCTACATAATTTGTTGGAACACTAGTTTTCGCATGATATATTTAGAGCTACTCAATAATTACCATTTGCTTATGATTTTCTAATATTGAAGCCTTCAATAATTGGTGTTTAATAAAACCATAAATTGAGTGAACATCTTACCCCTAGTCATATAGATGATGTGAAGTGGATGTAGGCATGAATCAGATTTCCAGTGGAGTTCTTTGGAGTGGACCATTTTGAATACTCTCATCTCATCAGTGTTACTAATTGGCTCAATTTCCAGAGACACAGAAGAGTACATAAATTATAAAATTGAGAACTACACCATCCCTCCCAGTCCCATCATGAGTGTGGTCCCTTCCTCTCCCACTCTCACAAATCAAAATACAAATCAAACTTTTCCCACCCCAAATGATGTAATTCTGAGTTCAAAATTTTTACAAAAATCTATAAACTGACCCCATAAATATTTTTGGATTCTATTTTAATAATTACTATTATGCGGCATGTGAAATTTATTTTGGATTCTATTTTAATAATTTGTACAATTTATTTTTAAAAAAATATCAAATATAATATATTTATAAAAAAATCAAATTAATCGTATATCGATAACTTCTTTATCAAATCACATCTGTATATATAAAAAATGAATATATATGTATCAAACTAAATATAAATGTAATTTAATAAAAGAGTTATCGATATCCGATCAACTTGATTTTTTAAAAAAATATTCTTTTCGATGTTTCCTAAAAATTAAACGGTTCGAATAATCAAAATAAGACCTAAAATGAGTCTCATGAGTCGCACAATAGTCACCGCTATGCATCGCTCACAACAATGACACCAAATCCATTTTAATGTGTCTTGTTTAAATGGATGCAACTCCTATCATATTATTTTATTATAACCCAGTTTAGATTTCAAAATTTTATTACTGCATACCACACTAGTTTGCAAGAAAATTGTACAAAAAAGTATAGCATTTTCTATCAATAATTTTAGGATCGGTATAAAAAAGTATAGCATTTCACAAGGCCTCTACATTTTTTTTTCCTAACCAGTTTTGCAACACTAAAACCGACACATGCAAATTTATCTCATTACAAGCACAATCATAGTAACATACAAATCATTTAAACACTACTACTAATAAAGTGAAAGAAAATGCAGGGGAAGAAAAAAAAGTTCCACTTTTCACATTTATTCCGAAATTTCTCAAGTTTTGAGAATTTCATTACACGTTCAAACAATGTAAACAATGGGAACCAACAAAATCCTTTTTACAAACCAAAGCTAGAATCCGTATTTAAAATTAAGATGAATGTAATAAATGTCACCTATACAAGTTTTTTAAGTTTTTTTTTTCCTAGTGCTTACACACTGCACACGGAGAAAATCAAATTTGGGCATGGAAAGTTGAAGCAGCCCCCCGCAAATGACTTGGCAAATCATACAGTACATCCAATCTTTACACAACTTTTCTTGCTTAATATTGATAACTGCAAGGGCAGCCAACATATAACAGCATTAGATAGTTTTGGTGCAAACAAAATCTCCGTTCATGTGATGTAAGATTTCAAATGAATCATTATTTTTAAAATATATATATAAATTCCAACCAAATACTGCCTTGAACCGAACACAAATCCGCACGGAATGCAAATCACTCTAGAATGTGACACATGGCAAACAGCCATAGTGTTTTACATAAAATGAACACACAAGTAAGTGGACAACAGATAACATGATAAATTGATGATAATCAAATTCTTTGAAACCCTAGAAGTGGGAAAAAAATATGAAGCAGTGGGGTAAAAATAAAAGTGAAAACATGACCTTACTCGCAGAAATGTTAAGCAAAGCTGCATTCCGTGATTCATTGGTAAATCAACTTTGATTCTCAATGAAGCAGTAAAGAATGACTTGGAAACAAAGTTGACTTCATTTTGGTGTATAATGGGATCCTATACACACCAAAATGAACACAATTGTTTCCGATTCTCACATAACAAGAGAGAAGTCCAACTTGAGCGATTCTTTGATCCTTTCTCGTAAAAACTCATTTTCCCCCCAAAAAAAATGACTCCGTCACAAGAATGACATTGTGGGTTGCGCTTCAATGCAACAGAAGATGAATCATCGCAGAAAGTTGGAAGCAGCCAAGAAGAACAATGGTCCAAGTTTTCATATAATTTAATGCACGAGTATTGAAACTTGGGAGGATCAGAAATGGGTATTAACCTTTTAAAGTGCCATTTCAGCCTGTAATGCAGCAAGCTCATCTTCCTCCGCTGTGTTCTTCTGGGGAGCTGGACGTACCTTGCCTGCTGGAGCAGGAGGAGCAATTGTGGGAGGCTGGAGAAGCTGTTCCTCCAACTCGGCTCCTTCCAGTTCTTCAAGCTCTGCTTCTAATTCATCCTGCAACAATGATGTTGTAAGATGTATCCTCTCCTTAAGGAAGAAATGGCATTCAATGGAAATAAAATTGCAAAGATGTATACTTCATCAAAATCGGCTGCTGCACCAATGGGTGCTGAAAGTGCCTCCTGGATCTGTTTCATGTTCTCGGTCTGCTCATTAATCTCATCCATTGTTTTGTCCACATCATCAATATTCCTGCAGTACAAAATGCGGTCAGAGATCCTTTAAGGCAAGAAAATTTCTGATGTACATAGGAATATAGTCAAAAAAAACAAAGCATAAGACGTGAATGCTCCATCTCTTGCTACAATGCAGATATACAGGGGAAAAAAAACGCTCTCAGCACCATCCAAAATAGAAGTAGAGGCAGTTGGACATATTGGAACTATGAACTGGTTGAAGTATATACAAAATTGGAATGTGATATGCACAAATGGCATTTCTCTTTCACAATAACTGACTTGCCATATGTCCATCTAAAGGCATGTCCAGTGGTTCTGTGAAATGAATACTATGCATACTTGGCATCATGTAATTTTGAACTTTACAGAAGAACATATCTAGGATTTAATGTCTCAGTTTTCACCACATTACTAGTCATGGATCCAAGCCCTGTAGCCACATCTCAAGATATGAAGTCGATCCTTAAAATTCTATGGATAACAAAATGTCAAAATAAAATGTAACCATTAAGTTTTATGCAAGACTAAACAATGGTCCAATCATCTTGACTGCTTTTCCCAAAATTGCCTAGGTACCAATTTCATACTGCATGCTATGACTAGTAAAATTAAGAAATTGTCAGTGACACAAAGGCAACAGCATGTTGATAATAAAATCCATAGAAAACAACATCTTTCAGGCTATAATAAAAACTAGGGCAAATTACAAATACAACCCTTGAGAATTGCTTAAAATACGAATTGTCCTGTAGCTCTAGAAATTACATCCCGCGCTTCAAATTTCTAATCGCATAACAAATGACCCTTTTTATTAATAAATTAAGTTAATTAATAGTTTTTAATGATATCATAAATATATTTCAATCAACAATTCTAATAATTTTATTATTGTATAAGTAAGTAGTTAAGAATTTCATTTTTTCTCTTAATTCAGTTAATAAAAAATTCTGAGGGGGGAAGGGGGGTATTTGTAATTTCCAAAACAGAGGGCAATCCGTATTTTAAGCAAATCTCAGGAGGTGTATTTGTAATTTACCCTAAAAACTAAGGTGCAACTTACGTTGCTTTCTGCATGGCTTTCATTGCAGCTGCTCCTGTTCTCAAAGCATCAACAGTCTCTGTGGTAGCTTTTGCACCTTCCAGCAAAATCATCTGACATTTGAAAACAAAGCTTATCACAGTCAAAAAGATATCTTCATGACATAAAATAAACACATTACATGAGGTGATTTGATTTCAAACTATTGCAACAGCACCTGATCATGGATACGCAACTGAAAGTTTCCAAGCTGTTCAACTTGCTGTTCGTAAAGTCTTTATCATGGATACGCAACTGAAAGTTTCCAAGCTGTTCAACTTGCTGTTCGTAAAGTCTTTTCCTCTTTAAACATTGTATTGCCGCTGCACATCAACAATAAGGTACAAAGCTCAATAGGAGAAGAATCAAACTGTATAGCAAGGTTTTTCTAGCAATAGTTTTAACATTTTAATATTCAAAGGGCGGCGGGGGGGTGTTGCGGAATGTCATGATTTCAAAATTATTCCCTGTTTGGTTTGAAGTTTTCAAAAACAGTTTTCTGATTTTTAAATCCTTATTTTTTTTTTATTTTTAGTGATTTTTTAAATATTTTAATCATTTAAAAAAAATTAAATTCATTTAATCTAGATACACTTAAAAAAAAGTACGAAATTTGTGCAAAAATCTTTTAAAAATTTGTTGAATACAAAAATTTAAAAGTACGAAATTTGTGCAAAAATCTTTTAAAAATTTGTTGAATACAAAAATTTAATACATTTTCATATTTTGTGGTACTCAATGAACTATTTAAAGATTTTTGTACAAATTGTGTACTTTTTAAGTGTATCCAAAAGGTTTTTTTTTTTTTTAAAGTTGATTAAAATGTTACAAAATTCACTAACAAAAAAATTCCAATTGAAAACTCAGAAAATTGTTTTTGGAAACTCCAAACCAAAAATTCAAAATCCAAAAGTGCAGTATGTTCATGTTATGGATACAATCATGACAATAAAAGACTACTAAAAAATATTTTACAACTAAGATCCAATAAAAAAATTAACATAATGTCATGCTCCCTCTCATTCGTACCTTTTCCTAATTGTTGGTTAATTGAAAAACAAAAACAAAAAAAATAGCAAAAGAAAACATGAGAAAGCATAACATATTTAGTAAACAGACTATGCTAGTGATAATGATTGAGACAGCTGTCCAATGTACCATCTGTGGGTATCTGAATACGTTTGACCAGCTGTACAACCAGTAAGGCGGACCATCTGTAGGTATCTGAATACATTTGACCAGCTGTACAACCAGTAAGGCGGTGGACCCCATAACCGCAAAGCATAGCCTTACATCGGCAACCACTCATCCAAGTAATTCACATTGGCTTGTAAGCCTTCCCTCACCCAAGTGCCATGTCCCGTTTGGCACAATGTGCGTGGCCAAGGCTCCAACTCTAAAACGACACCCTACCATCAATGACCTTGCGCAGAATCACCAGGGACTCATTGATTGCAGGCTAGAGCTGAAGGATCATCAAAGTTGCCCGACTAACCCCCTTGGGATGACCCCGCATTGACCAGTTTTAGATATGAGAGAGAGACCTCTACATAGATAAAGATTTTTTTTGAACTACATAGATAAAGATTGATCAGGTCATATGATACCTTGGGAAGTGTATCACAACCCAAAAAGAGTGTTTCACACATTCACACCTACTCAGTACAACCCAAAAGGAGTAACCTAGCCTCCATGACCCAACTCTGCTACAAAAGGAGGTCTCCCCCTCCATACACAAAGCAAGCTCTTCTATGCAACACGAGAGGCCATGGCCCAACTCTCACAAGAGGCCATGGCTCTCTCTCTCTCTCGCTCTCTCATTCGCACCATCTTAGTGCCATGATTCCCATAAGGTTCACAACCGACCATTGCCCATACCATCTTTGCAGGACATACCATTAATAAAATATACTTCCAATGTTGTTAAGAGACATAAAATGGGGAGTGGGGGTTGCAAACATGAACAACCAAGCTCAAACGCATAGTCACAGTGCTTAAAAGGGGGTTACACGTGTATATATATTCTTATGACAAGTAAATGGTTGTCACTGAATCGTACTATCACTATATCCTTAGCATTTGAAACTAAGAAGCATGGACATAGATACGGATACGGATGCGGACGCAGACGCGGATGCGGGACACGGCGGGGACACTACAATAAAATATGTTTTCATATATTTTTATTTGCTATTTAGATTAATATTACATTTACAAACAATCAATATGAACAAAAATAACTCTAATTCTATATACATATATATATATATATATATATTTGATAAATAAGATAAATTTTATTGAAAAAGTATCAAGATGATGCAAAGAATACAAAATCGCTCAAACAGCTAGCGGAAACTAGAAAACTCGTAGCGAACTCCCAAGGGATAAACACCAACTCATAACCAAGAATGCCATCTAAAAAGTCTAAAAAAACAAAAAAATCTGGATCAAACTTCTGATCCATCTAACTATACAAAACTATAAGAAAACGACTCTCAAGCCATGAAATGTTGTGATGAATCTCTTGAAAAGTTCGCCTATTACGTTCCAACCAAACTAACCACATCAAACAAAGAAGCGCCAATGACCACACTCGCTGCCGTTGTCGCCGACGACCAACCCAAGCTCCACGCCAACTCCACAACATATCCATTACTCTTCGCGGCTGAACCCAAACAATCCCAAAAAAAGAGCAAATAAGACCCCACAAATGACTAGTCACAGGGCAATACAAAAACAAATGATTCACGGACTCCCTATCTGCACAATACATACAACACCGATTTACTAGAATATGACCGCGCCGCACCAAGTTATCAATCGTAAGATTCCGACCTAAGGCCGCCATCCACCACCCTTGAAGGAAGCCTCGGCACCCAGATGCTCCTCCAAGGAAAATCTCTCCCCACACTCCTCCAAGGGAAATCCCGCCTCACCCCCCCTCCACCAAGCTCCGGTAGTAAGATGAAACAGAGAAACACCCCTTAGTCCCCACAACATTCCACCCTAAAACATCCTCCCCTTCTCCCAATCACACCCAACCCATACAAATAACCCCATAACTCTAGCAATTGATCTAATTCTATATATATATATATATATTTTTAAAAAAACACTTATAAATTAACACTTAGTTTATATCTTTCTTTATGGATGATCTATTAAATATTTAACTCTAAGAAAATAATAATAAACATTCAACATTCATCAAGAACACTAAAGAAAATAGGAGAAAAGATAACTTGGCATGTCCCTAGTGTGTCCCCTGAAAAAAATTAATTAAATAAGGGGACACACTATGTGGCATGTCCCATATGTGTCCCCGCCGTGTCTGCGTGTCCCCGAAGTGTCCGTGTGTCCAACACAGATATGACACTTGTTTTGAAGTGTCGGTACTTCATAGATTTGAAACATGTTTATCTTTCACATGAAAAACATTGCTGAATAAAAACGGTGACATTGAAAGATAACTTCACCAAATTTGAAACAAAATAGCAAACCCTTTTTTTTTTTAATCGGCAACCCATTTCATGAAAACTAAAAATATCTAGATGCAAAAGAAGAACAAACTCATTATAAATGCCATAAGAAACAAAATAGAGTCCTTTATATGTTACATACAGCATAACAGAATGATATTGTTGCCACAATACAGAAAAATGCCCTTACTAAATGAGAATAACACACAGACAATAGGACTACCGCAAATAGCCCAGAAATGAAAATCATGAAACTAACAATTCCAGAACCATGTGGAAAAGAACAGAGTATAAATTTACAAATAATAATTCTCAAAAGAAATGTCAAAAAGAAATATGGTTCTTTCACAATATATACATAATACATATACCTCTTTTGTTCTTTGCTCGGGTAAATTCCTTAGCCTTTTCGACTTCTGCAGCAGCCTTCTTCAGAAGAACTTTCTCTTTTTTCTCCAGCATTTCAAGTGTCTGCACATAGTGCCAAAGCAAGTTTTCAAAAAAATGAACATCTAGCAACAAAGATGACCAAAAGCATTCTATGAAAAGAATAACACTCATGCATGATGAAAGAAGCACCATACTTCCAGCTGACATGGCAAAGACTAAATAACAAAAGAAGATCCTAGTCTTCTAATAAAGATTCACCTACAATGGCGGAGCCAGGATTCGGTGATTTGGGTTGGGGGGGGGGGGGGGCCGCAAAAGCAAGACATTGGGCAAGTTCAAGCAGTTGGGTTAAGAAAAATTTAAATAGTAAAAATAATTAAAATTAATAAATTATTATTAAAAATAAGCTAATAAATAATGAAAACACTCTGTAAATGTGTTCTAAGGACTTGAATTTCAATGACTCACCACTAAAAAAATACAAATTAGCAGTAGTATCACTAATTCACCTAATACTTGAATGGTAATAAATTACATATTGCAGTTTATACACAAAATTTTAAATTCTATACAGACACTTAAAGATGCATACATCATGTCTTTTCATAACTATACAATAATGATTTGTAACAAAATTACAAAGGTTCATAACTTTTCTTACTATAGCAGTTCGTAACATTTTAATGTTCATAACATAACTACAATAATTCATAACTAAGTCTTTCTTATGGTGCACCCCTTCATAACATAATCACAATAGTTTGCCACTAATACTATAAAATATCATAATTTTGCTTATGACAAGGGCATGTGTGCCATAATTTTCCCTGAAGTAAAAGAGAGAAATGAAAAATATATATATTTTGAGAGAAATTGAAATAAATGGAAGAAAATAATTATGCATTTAAAAAGTAAGTGAATAGAAATATAAGACATTGGGGGGAGCCAAGTATAATTAAACTAACTAGTTTCATATACATAATACATATATTCATACAGTTTTGCCGCAGCTGCCTACAACCAATGAACCATTCGGAATACTGATGCAAGTAAAAGGCCCGTGTAAATAATCTGCTAAAGCACCACACAGTGTGTTGTTCTACTGATAAAATGTTTATTGGCATCAAGGGAAAAGATTTGGACCCTACATATTGTCCCTTTCAACATATCAAGCTTCACAAATATTAAATCAATTAATTCATTGAATTTCAGTTACAATGAGAACTTAGTAGTATGAATCGCCTACTAGGGGAGACATTTTTGCTCTAAAACCACAATTCCACAGTTCAAAGTTAGAATCAAGTTAGAACCACATTCCCATCCAGATAGAATTAGCGATTCCAACTATGATGGGGCTGCTCAAATATACGAATCCCAAAGAAAAAAAATCTAACAAAAAATCAATAGAGGTTAGGTACGTAGTATATGTGGTAAAAAAGGATAAATATATCAATCAATATCATAGTGAAATGATGGCAAAAAATGAAGAACAAATCAAAATAGAGACAAGAATATATGCTAGACAATTCGATGAGAATTTACTATGCTTATATTTAATTTAATAGTGTAAAAGGTAGTGTAATATAGACGTTTAACATATATATTACAACTATGAAATATTTACAATATATATATATATATATATGATACATAAATGCGCCCCTACGCACTTCCCAACCTTAGTCTCTTCTATGTGCCCACACTCCCTCTCCCTTGCCCCCACCCCCGGTCTCGCTACTACTTCGCACAACTAAGAATGAGAGTCAAGAGTTAACCAAAACAAAAAATCGAATCTTCTACAAATAAAATTTGAATCAAAACATTAACTTGGCCTAGTGGATGATATGCTCCCTTGCCAAGTGTGATACTTGTGTTCAAGTCTTATAGCTACAAGTGCAACTTCCTTTGCCCTTCCCCTCTCATACCAATTGTACAAATCAAAGATAAAAATCTGACAACTTCTAGATATCCTAGACTACCACTTGAAATTCATCAATTAGTTGTCCCCCTTTTGTTAAGTCATGGCACCGATGTTATGGTAAGTTGGTAACCAGATATAACATACACAGCGAAATCAAAATGAGCCAAGACTTGAACATTATTCAATGGATACGTTTTAATATATATTCACACTAAGTATTTATTGTTCAATGATTTGATTTACTTAGTTGTTATTTTATATTACTTAAAATGTTAAAATATATAAGTGATTAATCATTTTTTTTATATGTCTTAATCGCTTAACTGTTTTGGTTGTTTAATTGCTTGATTTGAAATTATTGTTATAGTCAAAGTTATAGGGCACAATGTAATGTGTTGGGTAATAATAATCTCATGTAAATACAATGTCATTGATAGCACATAGTTAATATAAAATATACAATAAATTACACATACAGATATACATATATATACATACATATATAAACTATGCAATATCTACAACATGCGTTGTGCGTCTCGCTTCGATGAAGCTAGCTCCTCCCCTCGCACTTAGGCCCCAAGAGACCTTGTCACCTTGGTGCGCCCCTTACCACACTGCTATTGACCGAGAACACATGACATGACATCTCAAAGATGAATCATACTTAACACTAAGCTCATATCAGTGTTTTAAAAGGCGCGCACCTAAGCGTGAGGCGCAATGAGGGGCAACCTTGTGCTTCAAATAGGTCGAGGCAAGGTGCAATATGCAAGGTGTAGCTTAGACGCTGCGGCGAGGGTTTTTTTTCGAGGTGCAAGGCATGGACTTCATGGACTTTACCTATTTTTCTACTACAACTGTTGATTTAGTGCTTTTTTTGTGGACATACCCACGGAGATTCAAAACTTTTTAATATAACATGACTAAACGCAGTCAAAATAGAGCAAAAAGTGATAAAAGATTAAATATTATGTTTTATATCTTTTGTTGGATTTTATATTTCTAGTTTTTAGAAGATTAAATGTTATGTTTAAAGATTATCGGATATGATTATGATTTTTGAAATTCTATATATATTTGTTATGTTAAAAAGTTTGCTTCTTTTATAATTTTGCTTTTCTTTTACTACTTGTGCTTCGCTTTGGGGAGGCACGAGTTTCGCCTCACACCTTGTGCTTAGGCTATAGGACGCCTCGGTGCGCCTAGAGCCTTTTAAAACACTGGCTCATATGACACCTTGAAAGGGGGAGTCCAATACCACCAATAGCGATCTTATGACACAATTCCCAAGGTCTATTTAGGAAGCATAGATATCTTCACATGGTAGAACCAAGGAAATCAAAGACAGATAAGTAGAGGCCATCACACAGAGGGAAGATAGGTTATTTTAAATGTTCGAAATCTATCAATGAGTTATGGCTTATTCTGAACAAGAAACGGACCTATCTACCTCTTTTATTGATGTAATAATTCATGACTCATGCCTAATGAGGCACCAAGTTTACAGGCTTAAAACAAATAAAATACCAAAAAAAAGAAAAAGAAAAAGAAAAAGAGTAGTGCTGCTGGATGAAAGTAAAAAATAATGAAGGATGTCAACATGGAAACACATGACATTTAGAGTTGGATTAATGCATAGTTCATTGACACATGAAACACTCTCACATTGACCAAAGTTTATGCAGACCATTATAGTTTTTACCATAACAATTAACAACATTATCAATCATCAGTTAATTGAAAAACAAAACAATCAGATCATCACAATTCAAAAACCCTACCTGAAATTGTAAATTCTGCCCAAGAACCATATAGTATAGATGAATATAAAACCAAATTATACAGAGTGAGAACACATAACACGGTCACAAAATCTGATCATATAATAATTATATCTATATATTTATACCTCGTTTAATTTGTCTAGTGTAGCCAATGCATTTGTTTCTTGCTTAGGCTTGCCGAACATTCTTGTAAACATGGTTGATTGAACTCTCTGCGATCTGCTCCGATCAAATCAAGAAGATCAAGTTATTAAATCAAAATCAAAAACACAAAACATGTTAAAACCTTCGTAAATACATATACGTATAGAAGAGAAAACAGACCTGTGGATTGAAGATAAACGATCGATCAGAGAGAGAGAGCGACGTCTTCTACTCGAAATTCACGACTCAATCTCCGAATCCACCAAATCGACTCTCTCTCTCGCTCTAGGACTCCCTGTGTCGATATCGCTTACGGAGAGAGAGAATGAGAGCGCTGACGGACTGTGAGTTAAGCTTATAAAACAGACAAATCAATGTTTAAGTCAAAAGAAGTAATCGTGTGGTCTGTGACGTAATCGGTTAATCAGATGGTACACCGACAATGCCGTATCATGTGTCGCTGTTTCTATATTATTTCGTCCAAAAAAAATACGAACAAATTTTTTTTTTTAAATATTATATATATCAGTGGATTATTGTTATTCAAGACAAAAAAAATTAGATTCATTTTTTAAGTTCGGTAATGTGACAAGTAATTAGGATATTAAAGATAATACTCTCTCATATATTTTTTAATTATCAATTAATTATATCAATTACACATCATTAGATTTAAAAAGTAGATTTGTATATTATTTTTCCTATATAAATGTTTGAATAATGTTACATACCCACGTATTTATACTCACAATGATGTGACATGGGAGTTGGGTCTATCATCATTAATGTGTAACAAATCAAAAATTGAAACATATCTTATTACATCATTATGAATATTTTTTTAAAATTTCAAATATTATGGATCCCAAATAAATTATTAAATTTTTTATCAAACTTCTCATATGGGTGTGGGACCCACACAAATTGTGAGAGATTTAATAAAATAATAATCCTAGAGATCACTAATTAGTGCTACCACTAATAATGTGGCAGTAGATCACTGTGTGCTGTGCCACCCACTGCCACAGTGTGTGTTGTGCCTTCTTTTTTTTTTTTTTTTCATTTTCCACCTCACTAGTGGTGAATTCAAAGCTCATTATTTAGAGCTCTAAATCATTTTTACTAATAAAAAATTTAATAATTTATTTGAGACCCTAGCATAATTCTTTCTTAAATGTTTATGACATTAGGGTTATTTTTTTGCTCTTAAATGTTTATGACATTAGGGTTATTTTTTTGCATGGCTTAAGTTAGATTTTTTGCGTATTACAAAAAGAAATAAAAAATAATTCCAAATAAACTAGTAAGTAGGTTGTTTATGACGTTGCCAAATATGCCATGGAGGATGGATATTTCATCACTATTTTTTAACCATTTAATTTAATGACATCATGTTATTAATTTTATTATTTTCTTAATTGTACTGTAATTTCTAAGCAAACACTACTGTATGACATTTCCAGATGATGGCCTTTTTTGAGAGAGTAGTGATTGGTAGCTCGAATTTGAGCCCCCGAATCTTCCAAATTCAAAAAACGACGTCGTTTTTGTATTTTTTTTTTCAAAAAAAGAAAATCAGAGGGAGGAGGAGGAGAAGAAGAAGAAAAAGAACTGGAGGGGAGGGGGCCAACAAAATGGGCTGGAGGCGGAGGCGGAGGCGACGGCGGTAGGAGGCGGGACTGCGACGAGCTGCTGCTGCGACGATCGGAACTGCTGCGACGATCGGTCGGTCAATCTACCATCCATCGGCGGCAGCGGAGGCGAATGAGGGGCCCTCTCTCTCTCCCTTCCCTCTTCTCTTTCTCTCTTTCTCTTCTCTTTCTCTCTTTCGGGCTGTTCGGGGGGGATTTCGGGGGAAAAACCATTTTCCTTTTTGAGAACATAGAAACAAAAACAAAAAGGTCAATTTATTAGTTTATTTAAGTTATTTCATTTTTTTTATTTTTTGATACATCTAAAAAAATCAATAAATTAATTTTTTTTCTTTATACTTTCCAAAATAAGTTCGGGTGACAATGATATTAGAAATGATATATCCCTCTAAGTTGGGAATTCTAAAATAGCTAAAACAAAACAAAAAAATGATGTGAAAAAAAAAAAAAAAAAATCAAGGTTAAAACATCACATCACATGGGGCCTGCGCATCAATTAGAGCTCTTAATTTAAAGTTTTCAATCTTTTTTCTATTTACTAGGGGTACTTGCGGTTCGATTGCAGTCAGGAGCCTCCAATCCGCCATCTGGATTGGCAGATGGATGCAAATCGGTTTGGCAGTTTAAATTTTTATAAATTTTGAATATAATACAATAATTTGTCACAACATTATTTTGGATAACAATCTAAATCAACATAATCAAAAGATTATCAAGTAAATTGTCAAATACCAATAATAAATACATATAAGAAAATAATGCATTATCAAAACTATTTCATTACTCTTTTTTTTTTTTCAAAAACTATTTAATTTGAATTTTTTT